CGGGGGATCAGGCCTAAGCTGGCAGTCAGACATCCCTCTGGCAGCCCGGGAGCCCTCAGGGGATGTCCACTTGCCAGTGGGGAGCAGGCCTAAGCTGCAGTCAGACATCCTTAGCACTGCTTATTTCATGTAGCTGAATGTTTTCAAGATTCGTCTATTTTATAGCATGTGTAAGAATTTCAATCCTTTTTATGGCTGAATAGTAATTAATTCTATGTATATACCACATTTTATTTATTCATTCATCTGTTGATGGACATTTGTGTTGTTTCTAATAGAGTTTAAATGGTTTATAAATTTATATGAATTACACTTTTCATTTCTGAACCTCTTACTGACTTTTACTGCTTATCAAGTTTGGGACAGTTGATTGGTCTTTGCAATATTTTCAAGCTGTTGCAACTAGTTTAAATTTTAACCATAATAGATTTATTTTCATTCTTAGATCACCTATTTTTATTTCTTTCTAGTCACTGTATTTTATTTTTCTCGATAATAGTTCTTACTAAAATATTTACAGCTATTTACCAGGGATAAAATCCTATATAATAAAAGCCTAATATGCAAATTGTCCCCTCGGGCGGTTGTTCGACTGGGAGCTTGGGACACGAGGAATTCGACTGCTTGCTATGACATGTGCTGACCACCAGGGGGCAGCACGGAACATGGGGGGTGTTGGCAATGTGGCGCTGGCAGTGGGCACTCAGGTGCCGGATGCCCGCAAGGAGTCCACCTCGCCCCTGCGCAACCTCTTCCGGGTGAGCTGGGCCGCAGCCGCTGGTACTGCAGAGGCCGGTCGGGCTTTCCATGGGTTCACGCAGGAGCCAGTCCGCGAGGCTGGTCAGGAGAGAGCACGCTGCCCACCAGCTTCTGTGCGGCCTGGCCGCACTTACCGCATCTCTGCATGGGTACTTGAGTGCTGTGACTCAGGCAGAGGGGGCGCGCATGGGGGCCTGGGGGCCCAGGTGCTGCCCAGGGCCCAGAGGTCAGCTGGGACCTGCCCTTCCAAACCAGACGCTCGCGCTTCGATCACCTGTCAGGCCTAGGGACCACACCCGTACACGAATTTCATGCTCCGGGCCTCTAGTATAGTATAAAGGGGTAGAAAGAACATAGGACCAGTGTCAGAAGACCTGCATTCTGATTTCAGCTGAGACATTAATAAGCCGTGTCAATTTTGGCATCTTTATTTTTTCATGCCTTTCCCTTATTTATAAAACAAGATAGGACTAAATGATTGTCACTAAATTCATTGGTTTAATTTTGTGGTTTCTGCTTTTATAGAGGCATTATTAGTCACTTTAAATGAGCAATAGTGGAAATATGGGAGTTACACACATTTTTTTAAATTTTTAAAGTCAATACTAGGGTTTCTATTTCAATACATTACATTTCAGTTTTGAGACATGATGTTGAAATGTTCTATTGCTTAAAAAAATTAGTTACCGAAGAGAGACTGGCTGTTCATAATATGTATTTTTAGTTAACATTAATACCTAAATTTACTATTACTGTTAAGATTTACAGAACAGTTTGTACCCTCAGAACTGATTTTGACCTAAAATATGTTGACAAAATTTCATGAATTTTTTACTGCAATATATTCTTTTATCTGTTTTCAGATTTAATTCACCATTGACATAAGCCTTTATTGTGCTTCAACTATCCATTTGACTCTCATGTGTAATAAGATGTGAGTTTTTTAAACATACTATTCTGATAGTAACTTTATGTGTAGCCTATTTTATGAGAATATAAAAGTTGGATTCGCTCAGAAATGGTTGAGAACTTAAAGAGATTATGTTCTATTTTCAAAATAAAAAAATTAACACAGATAAAAGGTAAAAGCAAAGTAACAAAGTAGAGAGAATTAGTATTGAGGTGTAATGTGAATCAAGGCAAAGAAAAAAACTTAATTGGTTTATATAAATCACTTGGTCTAATGATAAGGAGGCATACCAGTTCTTAAAAGAGAAAATGTATTTTTGGCCTTTTTAAAAACTTGTTTTTTAATACGTGATATTTGCACAGGATTTTAAGTGTAATGAAAAGTCTTTTTTTTCCTCCTGTTCCTTAGTCACTCAGTTTATTTTTAGAAGGCAACTATCATCAGTTTCTTTCTTCCTTTCTTTCTTTTTAAATACACACACACACACACACACACACACATATATATATATTTTAAAAATAAAATTTTTTATTTATTTCAGAGAGGAAGGGAGAGGGGGAGAGAGATAGAAACATCAATGCCGAGAGAGAATCATCTATCAAATGCCTCCTGCACGCCCCCTACTGGGGACCGATCCCACAACCCAGGCATGTGCCCTTGACTGGAATCAAACCCGGGACCCGTCAGTCCACAGGCCAACGCTATATCCACTGAGCCAAACCGGCTAGGGCCATTATCAGTTTCTTGTGTAACCTTCCAGAGCTATTCCAGGTATCTATAATAATAAAAGCGTAATATGCTAATTAGACCGGACAGCCGAATGACCTTCTGGACGACTTCTGGACGAAGCCGGGGCTGCGAGGGCCAAGCGCCTGAATGAATTTCGTGCCATCAGGCCTCTAGTCTATCTATCTATATATACAAATAAAAGTGTAATCTGCAAATTGACCTGGCGGCGGAACGACTGGGCGGCTATGATACGCACTGACCACCAGGAGGCAGATGCTCAATGCAGGAGCTGCCCCCATCCCACAGGCCCCAATTGGGGCCTGCCGGTCAACCTCTCAGTCCTTCCCCCCCGGCTGGCAGGCTCCAATCGCCCAATGGGGAACCAGGAACCGGGGATGCGTGGTGGTGGCTCCGAAGCCTGATCGCCCCGCGGGTCGCCACACACACAGAGGGCGACTGGTGGTGGTGGCTGGCAGCCAGGGAAGATTGGCCCTGATCTCAGGCCAGGCCTAGGGACCCTACCTGTGCAAATAAATATTATATGTGAAGGATCCAAACTTATTTTGCATAGATATTTTGCTTTGCTGCCTTTGTGCAAATAACTGCAGTTTATTGTACTGATATTTAGGAATATGGAGGTTCATCAAATCTTAATAGTCCTCAACTTGCAGAATTACTGGAAAAAACGTGGCAATATTGGTGCCAGATATGTCATTTATAGCTCACTCTTTCATAAGGCAGCAAAACACTTGATATGCCCAAATCATTTCCTTTCTGGAGAAGATATAGTATTGTGTCAGCATGCTTACCACGTGTGGTAATTGGTAATGTCTGTACCGCATGGCTTACTTTTAACCTTGTCCAACACAGCTCTTCTACCTCCTATGATTACCATATGTTACAGCACTAGGTTAATGGAATCATTTCCATCTTCCCTTCTAGTCACAAATGTCATTGTGGCTCAGTTCCATCAGCACCACACTCAATGAAGAATAAAGTGTTCAGTACTCTGGGCATAGAAGACACTTTTGTGAGGAATTTTCAAATTTAGTGGCTTGCTTAATTTTCATTTAAAAAATTAGCTGGATTTTTAAATGAATGCTCCCCTGTGGGGAATGTGTGTCTGCTAAATAAAGTAGAAAATGATCATGTCATTCTCAATTCTTGCATGTATTTATTCTAAGTAAATATATAAAGGCAATTAAAAATTAGGTGATAATGATTATTTTTTATCATCATAAAGCACTTTTTGTTTTTTTAAAGTGAAAACTAGTAGCAAAAGATTGAAGTGGATTTAAAAAAATAGTCAATTTATTCTAGAAGAACCTTTTATTTATAGAAGGATATACCATGTTAGCCATTTGTAAAGTATCTCCATCAGAAATTTCCATCCACCTCTGCCCGCTTTCTCAGAAGCATGTCTTCTCCATGCCCTTTTCTTCAGAAGCATGTCTGAATAAGTTAGAAAATAATTTTGATTCCTCTAAGAAGTATGCTAGCTAAAAACAAAAGATTATTACCATTAATGGATAAAGCATTTTATTTATTTATTTTTAAATGTTTTTATTGATTCCAGAGAAAGGAAGGGAAAGGGAGAAAGAGATAGAAACATCAATGATGAGAGAGTCATCAATCAGCTGCCTCCTGCATGAGCCTGCAACCCAGGCATGTGTCCTAACTGGGAATTGAACCAATGACCTCTTGCTGCAAGGGACTATGCTCAACTAATTGAGCCACACCGGGACATTTTATTTATTTATTTTTAAATGTTTTCATTGATTCCAGAGAAAGGAAGGGACAGGGAGAAAGAAACATCAATGATGAAAGAGAGAGTCATCAATCAACTGCCTCCTGCATGAGCCTGCAATCCAGGCATGTGCCCTAACTGGGAATTGAACCAATGACCTCTTGGTGCAAGGGACTATGCTCAACTAATTGAGCCACACCGGGCAGGCAATAAACTTTATTTTTAAAGCAGTTGTCAATTAAAAAAGAGTGGAAAGGACAGAGTTCCCATATAATGCTCTCTTCCACCCAAATTATTAACATCTTATATTAGGTCATTTGTTACAATTGATGAGCCAATACTGACATATTACTATTAATTAAAGTATATAGTTTACATTAGGGTTCATTCTTTGTCTTATATAGCCTATGGATTTTGACAAATGTCTAATGATATCCACCATTGTAATATCACACAGAATAGTTTTTGCTGTCCTAAAAATCCTGCATTCCACCTATTCATCCTTTTCTCCCTCCACTTGGGCCCCTATCAACCTATTCATAACGTTGCAATTCTAGGAAATAATTTACTACTGATTTCAAGTAAACCCAATGTTCCAGTAGTACCTTTGAAGACCTAAACTTACTTTAATGTCAGCTTAATCTATTTATAGTTCTTTTATGTATTAATCCATTTTATAGTCCTTTAAAGTATCATTTGTTACTCGATCAATCAAAATACAGTTAAGGAAACATGGAACTGGTTACACAAGTTATAGAGGAGCTACTGGTAAAAAGCCAAAGGGAAGGTGAGTCAGTATCTTAGTTGGTTTGGGCTGCTATAACAAAAATACCATAAATAGGGTGGCTTATAAATAACAGAAATATTTCTCACAGTTCTGGGGGCTTGGAGGTCTAAAAACAGGGCTGATTCAGTGTCTGATTCACAGACAGCCATCTTTTTACTATGTCCTCACATGATAGAAGGGGAGAGGAGTATCCCTCGGACTTTTTTAAAGGGTACTAAATGCCATTCATGAGGGTTTCACCTTCATGACCTTATCACCTCCCAAAGGTCCCACCTTCTAATGCCATCACCTTGGGGGTTAGTATTTCAACATGTGACATTTTGGAAAACCAAAATATTTAGTCCATAGCAGGCAAGATTAGGAAGCTAGAAACCTAATGGAAGAAGATATTTTTAGAGCTCAGGGTCTGGTGTCAAGGGCAAGACCTAGAATCCCAGTGGACATGATCAGGGCAAGCAAAGCTACAAAGGAAATTCAGCAGGAATGAGGACTGACATAGGGGACAGGGAAGAAATATCTTGGTTTTTCTTTTTTCCTCCCCACTTCCAATTCCCTGCCAGTGTCTCCCACTGGGCAAATCTCAGCTGAAAGTCAGCTGTCAAGGAACATGGTGAATACAATCTGAAAGGGTCAGTCCCCCCAAATACAGAGCAGAACAAGGAAGAAGGAATGGATATGAAAGCAAAAAGGACAAGGAGTAACGGTAATCAATTATTTTCACCTTTATTGAGGTATACTTTGCATATAATACACTTAACTAAAATGCACACTTTGATAATTTTTGACAAACGAATACACCTATATAACCACCTAGTCAAAATATAGAATAATTATAATCCCACAAAGTTCCCTCTAATCTTTTGCCATGAACCCTCCACCCCAGCTCAGTCCCAGGTAACCACTAATCTGCTTTCTTTCACTATAGTTTTTTAAAATTTATCTTTATTATTGAAAGTAATAACATATGTATCCTTTTTTCACTATAGTGATTGCCAGTACAAGAATTTCATATAAAAGGAATCATATAGTATGCACTCTTTTGTGCTTGGAGTTTTTTTGGTTTTTACTCAGCATGTTTTTGAGATTTATCCACATTGTTGTGTTTATCAGTAGTTCATTTTTTATTTTGTTAATCCTCACCCAAGGATATTTTTTCCATTGATTTTTAGAGAGAGTAGAAGGGATGGAGGGAGAGAAATATTGATGGGAGAGAGACACATCGATTGGTTGCCTTCTGCATGCACCCTGACTGGGGCTGGGGATCAAATGTGTAACCCTGGTAAGTGCCCTTGACTGGGAATTGGACCTGTGATCCTTCGGCATGCAGGTCAATGCTCTCATTGAGCAACAGTTCATTATTTTTTTTTTGGAGGTGGGGTGCAGGGAGGTGACTTCAGCACCCCCCTACCCCCCAGTGGCTGCCAGCACAAAAGTCCACAACCTGGGGACTTAAAACAACAGAAATTTATTCTCTCATAGTTCTTTTTTTAAAATACATTTTTACTGATTTCAGAGAGGAAGGGGAAGGGAGAGGGATAATCATTGATTGGCTGCCTCCTGCATGCCCCCAACTGGGAACCGAGCCCGCAACCTGGGCATGTGCCCTTGACCGGAATCAAACCTGGGACCCTTCAGTCCGCAGGCCAATTCTCTATCCACTGAGCCAAACCAGCTAGGGCAACAGTTCATTTTTTTATTGCTAAGTAGTATTCCATTGTATGAATACGCCACAACCTATTTATCCATTCACCTATTAATGGACATCTGGATT